ATTTTTGGTTACTTGCCGTAGTTGAGCATAATTTCAGTGCTTACATTTTATTTTTTTGTTCTATTTCGCAGTTTAATAAATTATTGGCTAATTTTGAATAGGCTTTATTGGAGCGATTACGCTTTGTATAAGGGTGTGTGTGTGCATATGTGTGTGTGTGTGTGTGTGTTTATGTCTGCATGCTTGTATGCCTTCGTACGCGTACGTGCACAAGTATGCACACACATACCTGTGCTTAGTTGATCTCGGATATTTTTTACAAGTGCCATGCACGAGATTTAAGTTAGCTTGGAAAAAAAAATGATTCGGATTCACGTAAATTGAGGTGCTTACGGCGCATGCACTGCCTCACAGGATGTGGGGTTAGTTAGTAACAAGATAATACACAAAAAATTTCAAATAAAAATTTCTTCTGATAAAATTTTCGAAATTTTGATGGTTTTCTCAAATTTTTAAAATTACTATCAGTGTTGCAGCCTGTTCGCACTGTTCGTCTACCGGAAACCGTTGACTGTCCCGCCACTTCATCCAAGGAAAAAAGCGCCGAACACAGAACTGAAACAGCAAGCGGACAAGCGCAATCGCCACCGCATGACAATCCTCCATCGCTTCATTCCGCAGAATAGATATATCATGCAAACAGTGTAAATAATTTTGGTGCGCACGAAGTGGCCGACGTGCATCATGCTTCTTCTTGTTTTTGCTCCCTTTCCTTTACTGCCTTGCGCAAGTTTGAATAGTCTTATGTGCGTTGGCAGTGGGTGAGGAGGTTGGAGAGAAAGAATAGGTGCGAAAGAAGTTCTGTCTTGTTAATGATACGCAATATTCGTAGGTACTAGAAGTATTTCTTGCTGAAACATACTCTTTGACATGTTTGTGTTAATTTAAAATTACAAAAAATTGCCCAGAATATGAAAAATATCACGCAATTCCTAGCGATAACAGCTTTGCAAACAAGCTTTTGCCGGTGAAGTCTGCGATTTTTTTTTTTTTTGATTTGAGGAGATTTTAGAATAAAATCGTGAAACTGGGAACACAACTTTTAGGAACATGAAAAGTAACTGGGCATAAAGTTCGGATTTTTTATGCATTTTCTTTTTTTTTTGGGAAATATTCTTTACCTCATTTTACAGCCCTCCAAAGCCTGGATTCGACTGAAGATCCGGGTGATTTAAAATTTGCATACACTTCGGTGCAGTCATATCGGCAAAACCGATGACAGCGTGCACCTTTCTCTCCACCTCTTCCTTGCTCACTTCATGCCTGGTGCGTACCTGTATTCGTTAAGCGTTTTGTTGTTCTGAGCTTCACTGTATTCTGCTAATAGTTTGCCTCAGTCTGATAAAAGTATTGTGCTGATATTACAATATTTGGTTGTTTTGATTGCATATGTTGTTGGAAATCCGGCTTTCATATTCAGGACATGGACTGTGGTGTTTCTGGCGGCTTTTATTTATTTTTTTTTTTTATTTTTTTGAAAAATGATTGTCACAGCAGCGACTGTAGGAAACGTAGCATTGAAGTGGACCAAAGACTCTTGCATGCAACTATTCCTGTATTTGCCGCGCTGTTTTGTTAATGGGGTATTATTAGTTGATCGTCTTGTTCCATTCAGTCTCTGTGATCTAACCACAGCTCATTCTGATCTAACTGCAGTTTCCTTTTTTTTCTTGATTTTTTCTTTTGTCGTTGTATCTATGTGCATTAGTTATAAATGAAGAGCAATTCCATTCAGACAACGTTTTTTTTGCCGTTCAAAAAAATTAGCAGAAGCTCTAGAAAAGGGATTATTTACTAAGATCGGCCCCCAGCGAACATAATACCCGTTTCTGTCACATTATTCAGCTACGCGCAATTCTGTTTATCATCACACCGAGCGGAATAGCCGGCTTTCTTTCGGTATCTCCGAGTCTACACCCCGTATGTCCCAGAATGGTCCTCTCTGTGCCAAGCATTATCTTTTTTGTGACGCAGCTAAATTCGGTCGCTGTGTTTGGCAGCCTGAAGGTGGTTGAGCTAAAGTCCAAGTGTCCACACGTGGAAGTTGGACGGTAGCAGCACGTCACCGGATTGGCCAAGAGAACTGCAACTTATTTGCACTTATCCATCACGCTTCAACTCATTGGGCTTTGCTTTCGTGGTATGCAAATGAGGTTGTTCATTGCCTCATTTTAATGAGATCCAGAAATTACTGTTCTGGGCCGATAATTCCACACTCATTCTCTGAGGTGATATTCAGGCTGATTGCCGCTTATAAGCCTCGGCGCACTTCTGTGGCCTCAATTGGGTCACCTGTTTAGGTCGTGAGAGTTAAGCTTCTGAATTGTTCAAACAAAGAATTAGGAGAAAGGTATCGGGCAAGTTACAGTCGGTGAAACGTTGACGAGTTACATTTTAGATTTCTCGGCTTTTTTAAAAATTTTATCCTAGATGAAATTTTTTAGATTTTTCAGCTAAATTTTAGATTTTAGCTAAATTTTAGATTTTTTATCAGTTTTCTAGATCTACATCAGATTCCCAGACATGACAGCCAGATACACAGGTGCACTTGCGCACATCTGTTTTTGCAGAGCCGTCTTTCCTGCTCTCAGTTTGCGTTGGACAGACCAGCAAACGCCCGAAAACATGACCCAACAAGTGAGGAACTTTTCCTTTCCATTTTTGCATCGGCGAGAGATGTTACTGCTGATAACAGTGGATCACACCTACTGCCCACTATTTATAGGTGGCGAAAAGATGCGCCAAGAAAAAAACCAGGCCTGTCATGCCAGAATGGGTCTCTTCCACAACCCACTATCCCCCCTTTCCATCGTTTCCCGCACATCAGTCGACGTGCAAAAAGAAGGATCTGTGTATGCCCATCCATGGGATCAATGAAAATGGCGCGAAGCAGTAGTGGTGTAGACCGACGGTTGGTCAATGCGCTCCCTGATAGCTATAAAAGCCGGCGCTATGGACTCACTGACCATTTTTCTGAAGCGTGTTTACGAACAACGACAACCGCAATGGCAAGACCAGCACCAGCGCAACCACCGAAGCCGTCGCCCGAGAAATCCGTGAAGCAGGCAGCCAAGCCGAAAAAGGCTCGCAGTGGCGGCAACAAGAAGCGTCGCGCACGCAGGAAGGATTCTTACTCGCGATACATCTACCGAGTGTTGAAGCAGGTCCAGAAAGATACAGGCATCTCCTCAAAGGCGATGTCCATAATGGAGTCGTTCATCAACGACATCTTCGAACGACTGGCTACTGAATCGGGCCGGCTGGCGCGTTACACCAAGCGCTCGACAATTTCCTCGCGTGAAATTCAGACTGCCGTGCGGCTAATTCTCCCCGGCGAATTGGCGAAACACGCTGTCTCCGAAGGCACGAAAGCTGTCTGTAAATACACCAGCCCAAAGTGATGTGTAGCGCCTAGCAGCTGCCTCCTTTTGGCGTATCCCAACGGCCCTCTTTAGGGCCACAGATCTGTGAGTCATGCTCTCTTTCGGTTCCACGTTGATCGTGTTGCAATAAAATATCCATTAACCCTCATCTGTAATGGCCAGAAGCACTGCAAAGCTGTTTAAAATGCCAGGATGAGTGTAGCATTGATAAGT